AAAAAGACTTTTTTTGCTAAATAATTAGTAAAACTAACCGTTTTGCTAATTATTTAGAAAAAACGACATCTTTTTTGCCAACAGGCCAAAAAGAGGTTGTTTGTAAAAAACTGCGTATTCAAAACATACGGGACTGCTAGTCTCGTATGTTTAGTCGTCATTAATTGGCGACTAATAATCACCCTAAAAATCTACGGGACTACTAGTCCCGTAAATTTTGGGCGTGGGCTTCACCGATGCTTGAATCTTCTGCTGGATTCTCGTTGGAAGAGGAAGCCTGCTTGATAGTTGGAAAATAACAAAGGTGAGGTTCTGCATTTTAAACAATGAGTATAAATAAAAACTCTTCTTTTAATAAAATAGCATATGGGAAATTGTAGCTTCTGCAGACTCATGACTTTCTCTTCCAAGGTACAACTTTATGCTAACCCAACCTGTGTGCTTTGTCCATTGCCTGCAAGAACCAACAGAGATGACGCAGAGATATGGGAAATTGTAGCTTCCTATACGATTTGTAGCCTGTAGGTGATGTATGGCCATATATGAGAACAAATGAATAGCAAAAAGTATGAAAACAAATATATGAGGAGGTTCATTTGCACGCCAAAAAAATAAGCCCACGCCCAAAATCTACAGGACTAGTAGTTCCTTAGATTTTTGTGGTGATTATTAGTCACCAATTAATGGCGACTAAACATACGGGACTAGCAGTCCCGTATATTTCGAATACGCGGTTTTTTAAAAATGACATCTTTTTGGCCTGTTGGCCAAAAAATATCATTTTTGCTAAATAATTAGCAAAACGGCCGGTTTTGCTAATTATTTAGCAAAAAATGTCTTTTTAAAAAAAAAATCTTAAAGAAAAGCTTGCAACGCTTCAACATACAAGATTGTAAGTCAATTTCTACCCTCTTCCTGTTAATTTTAAGTTAATCTCCAGTATGAGTCCTAGGCAATGAAGAAGAGATGATGGAGACATCTCGAATACCGTGTGCATCAGTAGTGGGGAGTTTAATGTTCATTATGATTTGTACGAGACCAGGTATTGCACAAGCAGTGGGAGTAGTTAGTCGATTCATGACGAATTCTGGTAAAGAGTATTTGAATGTTGTAAAAAGAATCCTAAGATACATTAAGGGGACTTCAGATGTTGCATTGTGTTATGATGATCTGATTTTATTATCAATGGATATGTTAATTCTGATTATGCAGGTGATCGTGATAAAAGAAAATTCACCACGAGCTATGTGTTTGCATTTGCTAGCGGAGCTGTAAGCTGGGTTTTAAAATTATAGTCAGTTGTGACTACATCAACAACAGAAGCAGAATATGTAATAGTTACGCAAGCTAGTAAAGAGGTAATATGGTTAAAAATAATATTGAAGGAACTCGGGCATGAGTAAAAAAAGAATTTTCTATTTTGTGATAGTCAGAGTGCTTTACATTTGGTAAGAAATCCAGCTTTTCATTTAAAGACAAAATACATTAGAGTTCAGTATCACTTTGTTCGTGAGAAAGTGAAAAAATAAATAGTGGATATGCAGAAAATTTACACCAAAGACAACCTAGCAGATTTTCTGAAAAATACAGTCAATACTGACAAATTTGTTTGGTGTCCATCCTCGTGTGGTCCAACAGAAACGTAAGCAACATAAAAATGACAAGATAGAAAGAACGTTGTGAAGATATGATTAATTTTTAATCAAATCTTTAAGTGGGAGATTGTTGAAAAGAGACAGTTTGGCACCGCAATTGAAAAAGGGTGCGGCCTCCACACACCGAAAGTTAATATTAGGTACCGTTGTTGAAAACAGAGAAAAGAAAAATAACATGAAAATAAAAATAATGGATTCAGCTACCTATAAATAGAGTTGATTAGAGAAACAACAACCACAACAATAAAATTCAATCTCCACATCGAGAAAAATGAGAGAAAAAAATAGAGAGAGTTTCTCCCTCTTAAGAGAAATTGTGACTCCAAAATTTTTCCTTATAGTGGATTTTTCTATTCTTGCCAGTGGTTTTACCCCAAATTTATTTAAGAGGTTTTCCACATAAAAATATGTGTGTTCAATTTATTATTTTCGTACTAATATTCACTGAGACCTTGCTCTATCAGGTCCCGTTTGTCCAACACAAAGTTTTCCTATCGTACCTAGGCTAAGAAGCTGTTTGAAATAGAGGAATGTCTTTTTACCGTTTCATCATAAAAACATAAAGCGCACCTGAGAAAACAAGTTACGCATAACTATATATCCGAAATTAAGTCAAAGTCATCTGTATGAATTATAGTAAAGATCTGACTAAATAAACATAAAAACAATTGTACTTCCTCACTGATCATTTGATCGAAAAGAAAAATCTACATAAATTATACCAACCTAAACTGAATTGAAATCTCAGAAAAAAAACACTCACAAATTCGCAAAATATTCATTACTGAAGTTGCTTAATCACATATTAATTTCAAATACAGAGGAAATATTAGATACTGGTACTATCTGGCATTTGATTTAATTTTAGAAATAGGTGGTGGAAATGAACCAATTAACCAACTAGTTTATTGATTGCTTCTCTGATTATCTAGTCATATTTGGCCAGATAGTTATTTATAGTAAGCAAATACTTTTTAGTATTTAGTTCATAAATGAATAAAATTTAACTAGATTTGACTATTAGCCATTCATTTACATTTTATTTCTATAAATTTAAAGTTTGTAAACTTTATTCATCTCAATTTTTTGTACACATTATACCCTATGGGTGAGAGTTATTGAAGTATCAAATAATTTTTAATTTGAGTACCAGATTTGCACATCATAATCATAACCAAAAAATATAAATAAGTTAGGAATTTAAATGATATTTTAAAATCAAGTTCTTTTTATTTAACCAAATAAAACATTTTGTTAATTAAAGAGTTTGAATTGATCGGTTAGTCACCTAGAACTTAAAATTAGAACTGGGATAATCAGTGGGATAAAATTTTAAGGTGTTAGTCACATAGAACTAAATCTAGAACAAAATTTTAAGGTGTTAGTCACATAGAACTAAAACTAGAATAAAATTTTACAGTGTTAGTCAAGCAGAACTTTAACAAAACTAGAATTAGGATAATTGTACAAAATTATCCCACTTTTTTTATTTTTCTATACAAAAATGAGAGTTCTAGTCTCTCAAATTATTCCAAGTTTTAGCTTGGAACTATGTGGTAAAAAACTAGAACTCGTATTTATTTTATTATTTATTATTTTTTTATTTACTTATTTCCTATTATGGTTATCACCATCATTAGACCATCATCATAATAATAATTGTCGATATCTTCAATTAATAGTAGTAAGTTTAAAATACATAAATAGTATTTATATCTTCAAAATGCATAAATATATACTTCATGATTATAAAAATTTATCCCACGTTATTTTATTAAAATATCCCGCTTCACAAAATTGTTCCTAGTTATCCCACTAAAATATCCCACTAGCGAAATATTATTCCACTTTAATAATTATCCCATTTTGCATGAAAATGTCCCAATTGACTAACACCCCCATAGTAAGTTACCAATAGAACTTGGCAATAGAGAGGTCTTATGCGGAGAAAATATCAAACGGCTTGATTTGCTAATTAGGGTTGCCACTGGGCCCGGTCAGCCCACGAACGCGCTTGCTTGCACTGCTCTTGGGCCTCCCTCTACCCGGCTCAGTGTAGGATGTTGGCCCGACTCGGCCCACGATCCTAGCTAATGCGAGCCAGCAAACCGTTGGGCCCACAAGGCCCAGCGAGCGAGCTAGGCCTACAGGTGGGCGGGTTGGCATATGGAAATTCGCAGGAGGACGTTCCCATGTTTAATGGAAAAAATCAGATGGTTAACTAAAAGGAGGTAGTGAAGTGCTACCATAAGAAACAATAGGATATTTAAATCTCAGGAACAAAAAACATAGGGTAGATAAGTGTTAATAGGATATTTAAATCTCAGGAACAAAAAACATAGGGTAGATAAGTGTAAGGTCATGTAAATTATAAGTATTCAAGTGCTATCTAGACAAAAATCTAAGAACAAGTACGTATCACTTTCAAAACATAAGCAATGCTCTGCAGCAGCCCTCACCCGGGTCTTGGATAGCGTCTATCTTTCATCATTTTTGACTTATGAATTAATCAGGTTTGCATATTGAACTGTTTTTCTAAACAAAACAGTCAGGCACATGGAAAAGATTAAGATGATAGGGAGCTACAGAGTATGAGCAAGAAAAGTCCCACTAGAGATTAGCTTCTTTGAAATAATAATTACTCAAAAGAAATATAAAATTAGGTAAAAAACACAGTGAGGAACCAAAACAACTATAATCAAATTGGAACAAGAGAGGAATTCCCGCTTTACCGCATTAATCACGCGCATTATATGAAGTTTTTTTAAAATTATATATCAGTATCCCAAATCTTTCATATTATAAATTAGTCATCAAGATCTTGATATTTTGAAATTCCAATATTTCTTTTAAAACTGAGCTTGTGTACTTTGTATATTATTATTATGAATTTATATGCTTGGAAACAATAGAAGCATATACTTGAGTTGCAGTGCACATACTGTTTTGGGTTATTGGACATGATTGTATGTTTACAGTCATGGTTAATGCCTCTCTATTAATTGAGGATGATTTATCCTCAGTTTTGTGTTGAAATTTGAAGGGCAATACGTATCATTGAGCTTCTTCTCATTGACTAAATAAACGGCCGCAGCAAGAGAATGATACCACATGGTAAAGATTTTGGAAAGGCAGGTTGCATCTTTGAACTAGCCTAGGCTTCTTATGACCCTACCGCATAGTTATTGAACCAGCAATCGGCATGTCACTAAACCAAAAATACGAGCTTACTACGCTAAACAAGATAAACATTTCAATATAGTTTTCTTCAACGAGGCAGTATTAACTGGAGAGAGGAGCGATAACGCTAGACGCAGTATTAACTGGAGAGAGGAGCGATAACGCTAGACGTAATTAGTCATGATACATTGCATGCTAGCACGCAAATTCTTTTACATAAACAAGTGGCATGAGTCGAGGTAAGCCAGCAATCTCAGCATCAACAACAACAATACAGATTTTCAATACAACAGTACAGAAACCTGTACCAGCACCCTCTACTTAAACCAGGGTTTACAGTATAAGCATTTTCCAAAAAGCTGCATTCCTATCTCAAGCTATCCTAGACATTCCCTTTGTACAGTATATTCAAACACATCTACAAGCCTCGTTCACAACACATGAGCCAGCCTAACTTTCATATTTATACAACCAAATGTGCAGACAAAAGGCATTGCATGGAACACTTGAGAAGCTTTTTAAGCTCCGATCTGCAGGGAAACAGGCCTTTGAGCGGAGGAAGCCTTATAAAGTTGCCAACCTCGAGGCACAGGACCATAGCTCTGCTCATGATAAAAGAGCACAAAAAGCACAGTTCCGCTTCTAACAAAAGCATCAACTGGAGGTTGAACCATCATACGTCAAGCACAGGGCAGGACTCAATAAATCAACAATAAAAGGCCATACATGAAACAGAGCATGTACAAATGATAATAACTTATCATAAATGTATTCCCTTCTTTTTGGAACTTTGATAACTAGAAACTCAGCTCATCCTCCCTGACTGGTCGATAAGAATACCAATGTGGTCTCCACATAGCGCCCGTGAAATATTGCCAGGCTCTACTAAATTAAAGAAAACAACTGCACAGACAAATCCACGATCCTCAACAAAGTTTGCTCCTACAAGTAAATAAGTTGCATATTTTAAAGGAAGAGGACTAACCAGGAATGTTATTCTCTGCACAAAATGTCATAGTTGTCATGTCCATAGCAGAAAAGCCTCTTGAGTCAAGGTCCTTAAATGCAATGTGCTCAAATGCATCACTGTTGGTTCTGGAATGACAATCATAACCAACGTCCATGTTTGTGCCCTTAAGCAGAACATCAGCATTAACTGCAATACAAAAAAACCACATCAGATTTATCCTTCCACAAGAAATTTGGCGATGGGAGTTAAAAAGATGGTTGTGGGAGAACCTTAAACCTTAATGTATAATGTTCGGGGTCTACAAAAACAAGGAAGAAAAAACCTGAGCATTTTTTTATTAAAACTGAAGAAAGAAAACTGGGGTAATCTTTTCTTGAAGACTTCTGGAGAAAACACTTAAAATAGTGAAAAATGACAAAATGACAACAGAACCTTAGCACCCCCAATAATAATAATAATAATAATAATAAGGAAAAAGAACAAAAACAAAAACCCCCTTTCCTTCCCTATTTCCTCTTTCTTACCATAGCTTTCTACCCAACTAAATGCGACCAGAGAAAAAAGAAAAAAGAGAATATTCAATAAGAATGCTTCTGTTTTTTAGGTCAGCATACTTTCTGAGGCCCTCAGGGCAGCTGCAGTATCAGTGGTTAAGAGAGGGTTTCCCAGTCCAGCACCAATTCCCCCAAATATTACAACTCTTCCTTTTTCAAGATGTCGAATGGCTCGTCGCCTGATGTAAGGTTCAGCAATCTCTTGCATCACAAATGCAGTCTGTACACGCGTCTCAACACCAATTTTCTCTAATGATGCTTGAAGCAAAAGAGAGTTCATCACTGATGCCATCATTCTGTTATACAAGTGAAGAAGCATATGTTAAAGTCAAGATCTTAAAATCTCTCATCGGTTAAAATGATGCAAATCACAATTTCCCTAAAAATGAAGCATGTGCAGATTCCCACAACTATGTAAGTTCATCAAGCAAAAATATATCAGCGAAATTTATCAAGTGTGTGGGAATTTCTTCCTATTCTCTGTGGAATCATTGTCAAATATATACTGCACAGGGTCATATTGATAATAACTGACAGCAACTTGGTACTATGAAACTCCTATTCCCAGTTGCCACTTACCTGAGTAGTCTAAGACTCAGATAATTGTTTTGTACATCTTTGATACATACCGAGCAGTCAATTGCAAATATATAAAAGGAAAATAGATGTGATTCATAGGCACGGTTATAAATAGCGGTAAATAGCTCCGCAGTAGCAGCACGAATAGCGTTAGCGGTCCCTTCCCGCTACGCTATCGTCCAATAGCGGTGACATATTGCGGAATATGTATTTTTTGCTTGCAAAAGCGACCAATAGCACCATAACAGTGAATAGCGGAAGATTGCAGGCAAAATCCACTTTTTGACCACTATTTAAAAGCGGTTTAAGGCTTTTTTTTTAATTAAACCAGACCCACAACCACTACATCCCACCGCCTCCCCTAATTTTCTGCGTACTCCTGCCACTTCCCATAGCCTCTAGCACATCTCTCAGCACTTCCTCTCACCTCCTCTTGCCGTGAACTCCTCTTACCGCTTAGCTCATTTTCTCGAAGACGACGACTCTTTGACTCCTCCGGTCGTCTTCGATGTTATGTGACGGTTACATATCTATTTCATATTTAGAATCTCTTTAAATCATCAAATGCACTTTTAGATTTTCTAGAATTTTCTTTAAATTTTATATTTTTTTAATATTTATACATATCTAAATTAGATAGTTATTTGACTTTGCGTTTTTTACCGCTATTTTACCGCAATAGCCCCAAATAGCATGAGCGATGCCTCACCGCTATACACCACTATCCGCTATCAATAACCTTATTCATAGGTGAATTCTGATGACACACTGACAATGAAAAAGGAGACCAAGTGAAGAATGAAAAGAAACATAGCGAAGAGCTCAAACGAACCCTCAATCTTGCTCAAACAAACCAGACATCCAGAACAATTTGGAAGCTACCAAACAATAAACGAGATTTTTCTAATTGGAAAATATTCATGACAAAGTTAATCGAGTCGAGAAGTTATAGTGGAGATACAAGTGAATGAGTTGAGAAGAGTCTTGCTGAAGAGGATCAGCAGAGGAGGTCTATAGCAAAGCATCATAGTGCATCGAGGGTTAGGGCAACATCTTGGTAACGAAACTCAATAATTGCATGGTTAAAAAATGGTGATGCAAACACCAAAATTTTCACCAATCAAGTTGACAGAGAAGTTGCATTTAGTGGATCAAGAATGCAGATGGGGTGTTTGTGCAAGAGCCCACAGAGATCAAGAAACTCTTCTTCGATTACTCTTTGACTCTGGTCATAGACAAATTGATCATCCTATTCAGAACCCTTGTCTCATGAGGATAACTTGCTTCTTACTAAGGATGAAACAAGAAGTCTGGTCATTATTGGGGGATAAAAGACTTGTTTCGAAGGTTTTTCAATCTCTCGACAAAATGTTTTTCCTTTCCATTGGTCAAGATGTTTTTTCAGCTACCAAACACTTCTTATGGTGTGATGCTCAGACAAATTCTCATCCTTCTTATTTTGAAACAAAAAGACCAACCTACCTAAAGCATTTTTGTCCTATAAGTTCGTGCAATGACATTTCATGCAGTAGTTACAAAAAAGATCTAGCAACGTCTACAGAAATACCATGGTTGATTGTGTGATTGCTCACAATACTTTACGCTTGATGGAGATCTAGCACTCCCACATACTCTTTCGGCAACTAATGATTCTGAATAGTACAATGGTTAAAATCGAGAAGTTTCTTATCCTTCTGTAAGGGAGGATGAAGGTAACAAATACCATAATCTTATATTTTGAGGAAGAGAAGAAGATTACTTCCTTCGAAGATGCTCCAGTTGGCAAACAGGAGCAGAAGTTTCTTCTCCTCCTCCTCCTCCTTTTCTTCTTTGGTGATAAGTCTTGCTTCTGGTTGCAAGTTGTTATTCAAGAATACAGAATTAGATGTCCGACTCATAATAATAAAGGAGGACGTATGCTTGGACTAGGAGAGGGTTGAGAAGTAATTCTTTGATGCTTAACTGGGTCTGATGGAGAACGCAGGATGGCCAGAGTATCAGGACATTTGAGATAGTTGCATTGGCGATAAAGCGTGTATTAGATCTTAATATTCATTGTGGGTAAGTAGGGTTGACAACCAAATTTATAAGAATATCCTTAGATCCTATGACTCGTTAATCCGATACATTCTACACTATGACAAGAATATTTTAGATCCTATGGCTAGTCCAATTTTCATTCTTTAAAACATCCTTAACCTCACTAATCCCAATTTTAGACAATACCCATAGTTCCTACCATGCGTTACGTTTTTGTTTTCATCCTATGGTTCCTATCATGCATTGGTGATGAAGTGCATATTAGATCATAACATTCATGTAGTTGGGTGAATAGGATTGAAAACCAATAGATCCTATGGCTCGCTAATCCAACATATTCTCTACCATTAGATGAATTGTGGAACTCTCATTTTTTTAAACACATTCTTAACCACAATAATCCTTGTTTTAGACGATACCTATAGTTCTTACCATGCATTACATTTTTGTTGTTGTCCTATAGTTCCTGTCATGCATTATGTTTTAAGATTCTATCTTATTTTCTCATTTGTGGTTATTATTAAACAAGTTACGAAAATTAATTCTTCATCTCTTTAATGTCATCAATGTTTTCTAAAATCTTTGAATTTTCACTCTTGATATATAAAACACTAGTTTACTCTTAACTCTTAACTGACATCCAGACACTTACGGATGGACAACTAGATTGAACGTTTCATCATACATAACCAACAAATGTACATGATTGATCAATCTTCTGTCAATTGACGGCTGAAGTAGGTAAGTAATAAAAGTAAATGAGGAGATGCTAAGGTTTTGAAAGGTTTGGCAATGGATAAAGGTTTGTCATGCTTCTTAGGGTAAAGGGTAAACAATTTTACCCATTTAACTAAAAGAGTAGGTCAAGCATAAGACTTTTACCACATACTTAGGGTGCAAACGATTAGATCTTGTTACCCTTACACTAAACGAGTAGGCTAGCACAAAATTTTCACCCTATCATTTATAGTAGGGACAATACTTTTTAGCCCATTTTTTAAAAGTGGTTGAGTAAGAGTAAATTTTGGTAAGAGAAAGATTTTATCATCCTACCTTTTACCCTTTTACCCTTCTAATATAAATAATAAATAGGGTTTTTCGAATGTTGGTCCTCCAAAGCTGAGGTATTTTAAAATAAGGCCCCAAAATATATTTCAAATAAATCCCCAAAACATAAGTTGTTTCAAATAGGTTCCTCGACTTAAACTTGTTATATTTAACCCTTAATAGACTTTAAAACTGTTAAAGTTTTTCATTATAACCTTTAACTTTTTTCACTTATCTCACTTGTTTTTCTCTCCTCTCTCTAATTATGGTGTTTCTCCTTTAAAATTTGTTGTTAATCTTGTATTTATGGTGGTTTCTAATTTCAAATGATGTAAAATTCATACCACAAAAGTTTGTAAACAAGATAATGGTATAAGGAGATAATTAGCACTAAATAAATGAATGAGCAATTGAAGCATCAGATTGATTGTAATTTGTCAATTATGATCTCTACTTGGTCTATTTTTGGTAAGTACATTTTCTGCCATTATTTTTAGTATTTTATTCCTCTTACCTAGTTTATTTCTTTTCATTTAGTTTACCCTCATTACTCAGTTGATAAAAGAAATGTTCTCAATAATAGGATTCCAAAAGCAACTCAAAGGTTCTGGCTGAATATAACAACATTCTGAAGGCAAAATTCAACATAAGAAGCACCAGCAACATGGAGTAACAGATTACCCAATTTGGTAAGCTGTGCCCCTGTCAGTTCCTGTAGCAGCTAACCAAGTGTCACTACAAAAGAAATTTCGACCTCCAAGAACGACTGCCACCTATAAGACCCAAGGACCAGAATCAGTGTAGCTCAAACAAATTTGTTCAGAATCAAGGTGATCTAAATAAGTACACAGGCATGTATTAATTTAAACTCAAGAAAACTTGTGAATACCTCAACACCAACACGGCTTGCCATTGCAACTTCTCTAGCAATTAGCATAATCACCTGAGAAGAAACCAATTTAAGTGTTGATGTATTTAGGCAAGTAAATAGTCCTCTATCCATTTTATAGCCTAAGAAGTCCATTGTACAAAGGCCATGCAATTATATCTAAGTAATCATATAATCATCATATCCATCTAGACTGTTGTGCTAAAAGCATGAATAGGCAAGAAACCTTTGGATCGACATTCTGCGGACCAGTTCCAGCTAATGCAGCGCCACTGATTTTCAATACTGCCCTCTTCCATCTGGGATTTGATACTGATTTCATCTTGAAGTTATTTGCTAAGCTAGCTGAACCAGGAGCTGCAACGGGATACCTGCATGAGCTGTCATTCATTCAACTTGTAGCAAAGAACAATGTAGCGCTTGCAAAAGGGTTATAGAATGTATATATAACTATGGGAAAATAGGACAATCAAAATTTTGTTTTGCTATTTTCCCCTGATACAATAATCAAATCAATATAACTAAAGCTTAACAAAAACTGTAAAACAATAAACAAATAGTGTTGAAAGAGGAACAAGACATGGAGTTCAGATAATTGTTAGGCTCCGTGTGATATACAAAAGATCATGTCTTACAGGATAGGGCAGTCTTTTAATTGAGCAACGTGAGCCCTAGTCAATACCAGCAAAGATAGCCACTTCTAGGGCAAGCAAAGTAGAACTAACTGGTAAGCACAGGACATCTTGGATAGTTCAGATAATTGTTAGGCTGCAGCTGTCGTACAAAGGGATTGTCTGAAAGGATAGGACACTATTTTGAATTGAGCACATGAACTCTAGTCAATACCAGCTAAGATAGCCACTTCTAGAACAAGTAAATTAGAAGGTGACTGGCAAGCACAGGACATCTTGGATCAGCAAGGATCTCCTAATATGACTTCGGCTAGGAAAAATAAAAGCATACTTAATGTTTGCGCCAACTGGAGAAATAACAAGCTTCATAGATTCAGCAAATATGATAGCCACTTCTAGAACAAGCAAATTGAAAGGTAACCGACAGGCACAAGAAAACTTGGATTAGTACAGATCTCCGAACATGACGTCAGCTAAGAGAAACAAAAGCATAGTTGATATTTGCGCACTACGGGGAAATCACAAGCTTAATAACTTCTTAAAGTACTCTCAGGTGCATATACTAAGTGGTTTGAGCATTCCATAAAGGAGTTGGAGCAGAGATGTGTTAGAATGCTTTCGACCACTGCCAAGCAACTAACAAGAAGTTGGAGGAGATGATGAAGGAGAATTGGTTTGCAAAACTAGACCAGTTGTATCGGCATATAGTTTACATTTTAACAATGACGGGCACCGCAAAGTTGTCACACTAACCTCTAAGCTTATTTGTATGTTAGCATCACATCATTTGTCACTCGCGCTGTTATGCACCAAGGAAAGGGAGCTCATGAACGAGAAGTGACAGTATATGCTGGCAGCTTCCTCGCACTCAGATGTCTTCTAACAAGAGGAAGCATCTGGGTTTTCTGGTCCCACCCATTGTATAGGAAGGATTTAGATGAGAAGCAAGAAGGGGAAGCATGCACAATGATACGGGTGTATCTTCTCTTTGGAACTTAACGATCCTCATGGGAGCTTGAGGATAGATGATTCTCATAATAGCATGAGAATAGGGGTGTAAAATAGTACAGTGAAACGCAGGTGGAAGCGTGGAACGAGACGACGAGCAGCATAGATTCGAAGAATCCAGTTTTCAGCTCGTGAGTCGACTCATACATGAACATGAGTCGACTCATCAGGTTGAGTCGACTCATGACTGTCATGAGTCGACTCACGAAGCCCAACCGTTTTGTCAAAAATTTTTGCTCGGTCGACTCATCCGTTTATGAGTCGACCCATGTGTCATGAGTCGACTAATCTCAGTCATGAATCGACTCATCGACGGTTTCCTGGTTTGGTTGGGTTTCTGTTCACACGAATTCCTGTTGGTTTTGGGCTTTTTCCTGGTTTGGTTGGGTTTCTGTTCACACGAATTCCTGTTGGTTTTGGGCTTGGTTATTTACCAGATTACCATCCACCGAATTCCTGTTGGTTTTGGGCTTGGTTATTTACCAGATTACCATCCACGTTTGTACACCTATATAAATGATTGTTTTAGGGTTTCTAAGCAATCAGAGAGGAATCAGAGAGGTAATTAGGAGATATTCTAATCATTGTATTAGGGTTTAGAGAGGATTGAGAGGTTGTTCTCGATTCTAGTGAGATTGTGAGGGAGAGATTTGTAATAATTGATTTTTCATAATCTAGAAAAGATATTTTCCTTCGCCATACTGAATTGTCCTTGTGTTTTAGTTGTCTTCTTCTCAACCCACATTTTGGTAATTCCGCGACCAAAGGATGCTCACACGGCGACTCGTATCACACAAGATACTCTAATGGACTCTACTTATTGGAGAGAAGTATGCACAAGATAGACTAATCATCCTTCAATTTCACCAGCATGCCTCTATCTCTAAAAGGCGAACAGAATTATTAGGAGTAAAGCATGCCAAAATTGGTGCATTTCATTGGCCATGGAGATAGATCAGGAACGCCAATATATTTCTCCATATAAGTTTATTTTAGCCCCATTATCCCCAATGCTTTTTTTTTCTCCTTTTGGCAATTGTCCTAGTGTGTTTGATCAAATACCAGTCCAGTTTACTTCATAACCCATGCTTCAGATCTACAAGATCAACAAACCTATAGGACAGTATCGATGGAAGTAGATAAAATGAAAAGAGAGGGAAAATGCATCTTGAACAACCACCATGGTGTATATCGTAATAGGAATAGCAAGAAGATATAAACCATAGAACAGAAGATTACTTACTCCATCTTTATTATCCACACTCGGCTAAGAAAGGTTTGAATTACTCCGGAAAATAGAGAATAATTACTCCAGAAAATAGAGAATAAATATGGGGTTATATACAATTTAATACCCCAAAATTTTCAAATTGATGTTAATTTGGCAATTTTATACACCAAAACTCTAACATTGTTCTTCACTATCCCCAGATTTGGTAACCTGAAATTTCGTAAGAAAATTATTTCTCATTCAATTTTCTATGTTAATATTCTTTAACAAAATTAACATCAATCTTCTTGCACTTGGGGTGTCAAACTGTCAACATACAAGAAAATATGGAACCTTGCGCTATTAAAGTGAAAATAACCATAAATTTTTAAGGAAACGTGCAAGGAATCAAGTGCACTTATCATCGGCATCAAATGGAAAGGAATATAACCTCTTGATTTGTCTGGACGTGGGAGTAGAAGCACCACCAACAGCAGCAGAGCATTTATCGTCATCCGTAGCCACAATAGCCTTCGACGAAGAAGATGAAGACCCAACAATCTGCTCCATCTTCTTAAACCAAGGCCAATGGCTAACCGCGAGG